CTATGTCTCTCTCTACCTCTACCTCTACTTCTACCTCTTTATCTCCATCTCTACCTCCATCTTCATCACCATCTCTATCATCTCTATCTCTGTCTCCATCTCTGTCTCTAAGTGTGGTTTAATATCTCTGTCTACATATCCTGTTCTTCCTGTTTCTCTGGAGACTGCAGGCGAATACTTAAAGCCAAGGTCAATGGAGCAGTGGACAATGAGGACCAGTTCTCTGACCTTAGTGTCTTCTTTAGTTTCTCTCTCTTACTCTGCTGTAGCTACAAAGACCCTCTTTCTGGTCTTCAAATGTTCCAAGCATGTTGTAGCTGCCAGACTTTGGCACTTGTTCCCATCACCCAGACAGCTCTTTCTCACAGCCTGAGCATCCGCTTCATCTAGGGGTCTGCATAGAAGCCACCTCAGGGAGAGGTCTCCCCTGGTGGCTCGAACCTACAATATCCATCACCATCATCCTGTCTTTACTCAGATAGTTTTCTTCCCAGTGCTTATCACTGCTGGGCTAGTAGATAGGCTTTTATTTATTTATTTATCTATTTTTTATTTATTTATACCCCAGGCTGGAGTGTAGTGGGCATTTTCTTGGCTCACCGCAGCGCCTCTGTCTCCCGGATTCAAGTGATTCTCCTGCCTCAGCCTCCTGAGTAGCTGGGGTTATAGGTGAGTGCCACCATGCCCAGCTAATTTTGGTATTGTTATTTTTAATTTATTTTTTTGTTATAATTTAAGTTCTAGGTACATGTGCACAATGTGCAGGTTTGTTACATATGTATACATGTGCCCGTGTTGCTGTGCTGCACCCATTAACTGGTCATTTACATTAGGTATCTCCTAATGTAACATATCTCCTAACATATCTCCTAATGCTATGCCTCCCCTCTCTCCCCACCCAACGACAGGCCCTGGTGTGTGATGTTCCCCACCCTGTGTCCAAGTGTTCTCATTGTTCAGTTCCCGCCTATGAGTGAGAACCATGTGTTTTGTTTCTCGTCCTTGTGATAGTTTGCTCAGAATGATGGCCTCCCAGCTTCATCCATGTCCCTACACAAGGACACATGAAGCTCATCCTTTTATTATGGCTATGGCATAGTATTTCCATGGTGTGTATATGTGCCACATTTTCTTAACCAGTCTGTCATTGATGAACCGCATTTTGGGTTTGGTCCAAGTCCTTGCTTTGTGAATAGTCCGCAATAAGCATACTTGTGCATGTGTCTTTTATAGTAGCATGATTTATATACCTTTGGGTAATATACCCAGATACATGGGATGCTTGGGTCAAATGGTATTTCTATTCTAGATCCTTGAGGACACTCGCCATACTGTTTTCCATAATGGATGAACTAGTTTACGTCCCACCACAGTGTAAAAGGTTCCTATTTCTCCAAATCCTTTCCAGCACCTGGTTGTTTCCTGACATTTTACCATCCTGACTGGTGTGAGGCTGGTTATTCTCCACTGTGGTTTTGATTTGCAATTCTCTGATGGCCAATGATGATGAGCCATTTTTTTCATGTGTTCTGTTGGCAGGCTAAATGTCTTCTTTTGAGAAGTGTCTGTTCCACTATCTTTTGGCCCACTTATTTTGAAGGAGTTGTTTTGAATTTTTCTTGTAAATTTGTTTAAGTTTCTTGTAGATTTATGGATATTAGCCATTGTTGGATGGATAGAATTGCAAAAATTCTTTCCCATTCTGTAAAGTTTGCCCTCTGTTCACTCTGATGCTAGTCTTTCTTATTGCTGTGCACAAAGCTCTTTAGATTTAATGATCCCATTTGATATTTTGGCTTTTGTTGCCATTGCTTTTTGGTGTTTAAGACATGAAGTCATTGCCCATGCCTGTGTCCTGAATGGTATTTCCTAGGTTTTCTTCTAGGGTTTTCAATGATTTTCAGTCTAACATTTAAGGTCTTTAATCCATTTTGGATTAAGTTTTGTATAAGATGTAAGGAAGGGATCCAGTTTCAGCTTTTCTACATATGGCTAGCCAGTTTTCCCCAAGCACCATTTATTAAATTAGCCGGAATCCTTTCCCCTATTCCTTGTTTTTGTCAGGTTTGTCAAAGATGAGATGGTTGTAGATGTGTGGTATTATTTCTGAGGGCTCTGTTCTGTTCCATTGGTCTATATCTCTGTTTTGATACCAGTACAATGCTGTTTTGGTTACTGCAGCCTTGTAGTATAGTTTGAAGTCAGGTAGTGTGATGCATCCAGCTTTGTTCTTTTGGTTTAGGATTGTCTTGACAATGGGGGCTCTTTTTTGGTTCCATGTGAACTTTAATATAGTTTTTTTTTTTTGGATTCTGTGAAGAAAGTCATTGGTAGCTTGATGGGGATAGCATTGAATCTATAAATTACCTTGGGCAATATGGCCATTTTCATGATATTGATTCTTCCTATCCATACGCATAGAATGTTTTTCCATTTGTTTGTGTCCTCTCTTATTTCATTGAGCAGTGGTTTGTAGTTCCTCCTTGAAGAGGTCCTTCATATCCCTTGTAAGTTGTATTCCTAGATATTTTATTCTCTTTGAAGCAATTGTGAATGGGAGTTCACTCCATGATTTGGGCTTTCTGTTTGGTATTGGTTGTAGGAATGTTGTGATTTTGCGCATTGATTTTTGCATCCTGAGACTAGCTGAAGTTGCCTAATCAGCCTTAAGGAGATTTTTGGCTTGAGACTGTTGGGTTTAATCTAAATATTACCAATATGTCATCGCAAACAGGGGCAAATTTGAACTTCCTCTTTTCCTAATTTATACGCCTTTATTTCTGTTTCTCTTGCCCTTTTGATTGCACTGGCTGAACCTTCGAAACACTATTTGCAATAGGGAGTGGTGAGAGAGGGCATCCCTGTCTTGTGCCCAGTTTTCAAAGGGAATGCTTCTAGTTTTTTGCCCATTCAGTATGATATTGCTGTGTGTTTGTCATAAGTAGCTCTTATTGTTTTGAGATACATTTCCATCAAATACCTAGTTAAATCGAGAGTTTTCTAGCAAGAAGTGCTGTTTGGAATTTTGTCAAAGGCCCTTTTCTGCATCTATTGAGATAATCATGTGGTTTTCTTGTTTTTGGTTCTGTTTATTGATGGATTACCTTTATTGATTTGATATGTTGAACCAGCCTTGCATCCCAGGGATGAAGCCCATTTGGTGTCGGTGGATAAACTTTTTGATGTGCAGCCTGCGATTGTGTTTGCCAGAATTTTATTGGAGGATTTTTTGAATCAAATATTCATCAAGGATATTGGCCTAAAAATTTCTCTTTTTTGTTGTGTCTCCCACTAGGCTTTTCGGTATCCAGGATGATGCTGGCCTCATCAAACGAGTTAGGGAGGATTCCCCTCTTTTTCTATTGATTGAAATAGTTTCTGAAGGAATGATACAGCTCCTCTTTGTACCTCTGGTAGAATGGCAGCTGTGAATCTGTCTGGTCCCCGGACTTTTTTTTGGTTGATAAGCTATTAATTATTGGCTCAAAATTTGAGAAGCTCTGTTATTGGTCTATTTCAGGGATTCAGCTTCTTCCTAGTTTAGTCATTGGGAGGGTGTATGTGACCAGAGAATTTATTCATTACCTCTAGATTTTTCTAGTTTCTAATATTGTGTAGAAGTGTTTATAGTATTCTGTGATGGTAGTTTGTATTTCTGTGGGATCAGTGGTTATATCCCCTTTATCATTTTTTTTATTGTATTCTATTTGATTCTTCTCTCTTTTTCTTCATTATTAGTCTTGTATAGCAGTCCTATCAATTTTGTCCGGATCTTTTCAAAAAAACAGCTACTGGATCCATTGATTTTTTTGAAGGGGCTTTTGTGTGTCTATCTCCTTTCAGTTCTGCTCTGATCTTAGTTATTTCTTGCGTTCTGCTAGCTTTTGAATGTGTTTCCTCTTGCTTCTCTAGTTCTTCTTAAATTGTGATTGTCAGCTTAGGGTGTCAATTTTAGATCTTTTCCTGCTTATCTCTTGTGGGCATTTATTGCTAAACTAAATTTCCCTCTTAACACACTGCTTTAAACGTGTCCGGAATTTCTGGTATATTGTGTCTTTTGTTCTCATTGGTTTCAAAGAACATCTTTTTTTAAAAAAATTAATTATTTAATTAATTTAATAATTATTATTTACTTTAAGTTCTAGGGTACATGGTGCATAATGTGAAGGTTTGTTACATATGTTATACTTGTCGCCATGTTTGGTGTGCTGGCACCCGTTCAAAACTCATCACCTCATAAATCAGCATCAGCACCCATCAACTCTAACATTTACATCAGGTATAACTCCCAATACCAATCCCTCCCCCCTTCCCCCCTCCCCATGATAGGTCCAGGTGTGTGATGCTCCCCTTCCAGAGTCCAAGTGATTCTCATTGTTTCAGTTCCCACCTATGAGTGAGAACATGCAGTGTTTGGTTTTCTGTTCATGTGATAGTTTGCTAAGAATGATGGTTTCCAGCTGCATCCATGTCCCTACAAAGGACACAAACTCATCCTTTTTTATGGCTGCATAGTATTCCGTGGTGTATATGTGCCACATTTTTCTTAATCCAGTCTGTCACTGATGGACATTTGGGTTGATTCCAAGTCTTTGCTATTGTGAATAGTGCCGCAATAAACATAACGTTGTGCATGTGTCTTTATAGCAGCATGATTTATAATCCTTTGGGTATATACCAGTAATGGGATGGCTGGGTCATATGGTACTTCTAGTTCTAGATCCTTGAGGAATCGCCATACTGTTTCCCATAATGGCCTGAACTAGTTACAATCCCACCAACAGTGTAAAGTGTTCCTATTTCTCCACATCCCTCTCCAGCACCTGTTGTTTCCTGACTTTTTAATGATTGCCATTCTAACTGGTGTGAGATGGTATCTCATTGTGGTTTGATTCACATTTCTCTGATGGCCAGTGATGACGAGCATTTTTTTCATGTGTCTGTTGGCTGTTATGAATGTCTTCTTTTTGAGAATGTCTGTTCATATCCTTTGCCCACTTTTTGATGGGGGTGTTTGTTTTTTTCTTGTAAATTTGTTTGAGTTCTTTGTAGGTTCTGGATATTAGCCTTTTGTCAGATGAATAGATTGCAAAAATTTTCTCCCATTCTGTAGGTGCCTGTTTCACTCTTATGGTAGCTTCTTTTGCTGTGCAGAAGCTCTTTAGTTTAATTAGATCCCATTTGTTCAGTTTTGGCTTTTGCTGCCATTGCTTTTGGTGTTTTAGACATGAAGTCTATGCCCATGCCTATGTCCTGAATGGTACTACCTAGGTTTTCTTCTAGGGTTTTTATGGTATTAGGTCTAACATTTAAGTCTCTAATCCATCTTGAATTAATTTTCATATAAGGAGTAAGGAAAGGATCCAGTTTCAGCTTTCTACTTATGGCTAGCCAATTTTCCCAGCACCATTTATTAAATAGGGAATCCTTTCCCCATTTCTTGTTTTCCTCAGTGTTTGTCAAAGATCAGATAGCTGTAGATGTGTGGTATTATTTCTGAGGATTCTATTCTGTTCCATTGGTCTATATCTCTGTTTTTGGTACCAGTACCATGCTCTTTTGGTTACTGAGCCTTGTAGTATAGTTTGAAGTCAGGTAGCGTGATGCCTCCAGCTTTTGTTCTTTTGACTTAGGATTGTCTTTGGAGATGCGAGCTCTTTTTTTGGTTCCATATGAACTTTAAAGCAGTTTTTTCCAATTCTGTGAAGAAAGTCATTGGTAGCTTGATGGGGATGGCATTGAATCTATAAATAACCCTTGGCAGTATGACCATTTTCACGATATTGATTCTTCCTATCCATGAGCATGGCATGTTCTTCCATTTGTTTGTGTCTTCTTTTATTTCACTGAGCTGTGGTTTGTAGTTCTCCCTTGAAGAGGTCCTCTCTTACATTCCCCTTGTAAGTTGGGATTCCTAGGTATTTTATTCTCTTTGAAGCAATTGTGAATGGAAGTTCATTCATGATTTGGCTCTCTGTTTGTTTGTTACTGGTGTATAAGAATGCTTGTGATTTTTTGCACATTAATTTTGGTATCCTGAGACTTTGCTGAAGTTGCTTATCAGCTTAAGGAGGTTTTGGGCTGAGAGAAGTGGGGTTTTCTAAAATATTCAATCATGTCATCTGCAAAGAGGGACAATTTGACTTCTTCTTTTCCTAACTGAATACCCTTATTTTCTCTCTCTTGCCTGATTGCCCTAGCCTGAACTTCCAACACTATGTTGAATAGGTAGTAGTGAGAGAGAGCATCCCTGTCTTGTGCCAGTTTTCAAAGGGAATTTTTTCCCAGTTTTTGCCCCAAAGAACATCTTTATTTCTGCCTTCATTTCGTTATGTACCCAGTTATGTACTTCAGGAGCAGGTTGTTCAGTTTCCATGTAGTTGAACAGTTTTTTAGTGCGTTTCTTAATCCCTGAGTTCTAATTTGATTGCACTGTGGTCTAAGAGACAGTTTGTTATAATTTCTGTTATTTTGCATTTGCTGGAGGGAGTGCTTACTTCCAACTATGTGGTCAAGTTTTTGGAATAAGTGCGATGTGGTGCTGAGACGAATGTATATTCTGTTGATTTGGGGTGGAGAGTTCTGTATATGTCTATTAGGTCTGCTTGGTGCAGAACTGAGTTCAATACTGGATATCCTTGTTTAACTTTCTGTGTCGTTGATCTGTTTTATGTTGACAGTGGGGTGTTAAAATCTCCCATTATTGTTGTGTTGGAGTTTAAGTCTCCTTGTAGGTCTCTAAGGACTTCCTTTATGGATCTGGGTGCTCCTGTATGGGGTGCGTATGTATTTAGGACAGTTAGCTCTTCTTGTTGAATTGATCCCTTTGCCATTATGTAATGGCCTTCTTTGTCTCTTTTGATCTTTGTTCCTTTAAAATCTGTTTTATCAGAGTCTAGCATTGCAACCCCTGTTTGGTTTTTTTTTTTCTTTTTTTGCTTCCATTTGTTTGGTGTATCTTCCTCCATCCCTTTATTTTTAGCCTATGTGTGTCTCTGCATGTGAGATGGGTCTCCTGAACACAGCACACTGATGGGTCTTGACTCTTTATCCAATTTGCCAGTCTGTGTCTTTTAACTGGAGCATTTAGCCCATTAACATTTAAGGTTAATATTCTTATGTGTGAATTTGATCCTGTAATTATGATGTTAGCTGGTTATTTTACATGTTAGTTGATGCAGTTTCTTCCTAGCATCAATGGTCTTTACAATTTGGCATGTTTTTGCACTGGCTGGTACCAGTTGTTCCTTTCCATGTTTAGTGCTTCCTTCAGGAGCTCTTGTAAGGCAACCCTGGTGGTGACAAAATCTCTCAGTATTTGCTTGTCTGTAAAGGATTTTATTTCTCCTTCACTTATGAAGCTTAGTTTGGCTGGATATGAAATTCTGGGTTGAAAATTCTTTTCTTAAGAATGTTGACTATTGAGCCACCCTCTCTTCTGGCTTGTAGAGTCTCTGCTGAGAGATTCGCTGTTAGTCTGATGAGCTTCCCTTTCAAAGGGAACTTTGAACTTGTCAAAGTCATTCTCTGTTCAACTTTGTTCCATCACTGGCAAGGAGCTGCATTCCTTTGGAGAAGAAGAGGTGCTCTGATTTTTAGAATTTTCAGCTTTTCTGCTCTGGTTTCTCCCTATCTTTGTGGTTTTATCTACCCTTGGTCTTTGATGATAGTGACGTACAGATGGAGTTTTGGTGTGGATGTCCTTTTTATTTGTTAGTTTTCCTTCTAACAGTCAGGACCCTCGGCTGCAGGTCTGTTTGAGTTTGCTGGAGGTCTACTCCAGACCCTGTTTGCCTGGGTTTCACCAGTGGAGGCTGCAAAACAGCAAATATGGCAGAATGACTAAAGTTGCTGCCTGATCCTTCATCTGGAAGCTTCGTCTCTGAGGGGCACCTGGCTGTACGAGGTGTCAGTCGGCCCCTACTGGGAGACGTCTCCCAGTTAGGCTACTCGAGAGTCAGGAACCCACTTGAGGAGGCAGTCTGTACATTCTCAGATCTCAAACTCCATGTGGGAGAACCCCTACTCTCTTCAAAGCTGTCAGGGATGTTTAAGTCTGCAGAAGTTTCTGCTGCCTTTTGTTCAGCTATGCCCTGCCCCAGAAGTGGAGTCTACGGAGGCAGGCAGGCCTCCTTGAGCAGCAGTGGGCTCTACCATGTTTGAGCTTTCCAGCCATGTTGTTTACCTACTCGAGCTTCAGCAATGGTGGACGCCCCTCCCCCAGCCTCACTGTCACCTTGCAGTTCAATCTCAAGCTGCTGTGCTAGCAGTGAGTGAGGCTCCATGGGCATGGGGCCCTCAGAGCCAGGTGTGGGATATAATCTCCTGGTGTGCCATTTGCTAAGATCATTGAAAGCTCAGTATTAGGGTGGGAGTGTCCTGATTTTCCAGGTACTGTCTGTCACGGTTTCCCTTGGCTAGGAAAGGGAATTTCCCAAACCCTTGCCCTTCCCGGGTGAGGTGATGCCCTGCCCTGCTTCGGCTCACACTCCATGGGCTGCATCCACTGTCCAACCAGCCCCAGTGAGATGAACCCGGTACCTCAGTTGGAAACGCAGAAATCACCCGTCTTCTGCATCACTCATGTTGGGAGCTGTAGACTGGAGCTGTTCCTATTCGGCCTAATTTTTGTATTTTTAGTAGAGGCGGGGTTTCTCTATGTTGGCCAGGTTGGTCTTGAGCTCCTGACCTCAAGTGGTCCACCTGCCTCAGCCTCCAAAAGTGCTGGGATTACAGGTGTGACCCACTGCACCACACCATAGCTTTGTTTTAATTGTCTCTTGCTCACTGGAATAGAAGCTTCACAAGAGCAGAGATATACTTTTTATCTCTCACCTCTTAGACCTCAGTACAGTGCCTGCCACAGAGTGGGCCCTCAGTGGGTTCCAGATTGTGGTGGGTTTTGACTGGTGGGCTCAGTAATTGTAAGGAGTTGAAAGCAGATTAACCACCTGATATCCTCCTGGCAGCCATGGACTCCTGGAGAGACGCCTTGGAGGGAACCTGCGAAAAGATACCAGCAAGAAACAACTCGGAGGTACCTGAAAGTTTTTCCTTATCTCTGATCCACGTTGCCTGGCCACATTGTTCATAAAGAAGGCCTTATGACACATCTCATAAAAGCAACCCTAGCCTCTCGATCACTTGGCAATTTGGGGGAGGAAAATCAGACACTGAAAATGAAAGTGCACAGTGGTAGTATATGGTATCACATCCATCATTCTTTACAGCAACAAGAACGATGGCCTTTGGGAAGCAGCAGTTGCACCTAAAAGATAGGCAGTTTAGACATGTCTTGACAGAGAAGAATTACCCATCTCACCCTCATCCCCCCACATCCCCATCCTGATCCCAAGGAATGGCAGAATTACAAAGAAATCAAATGCAGGGCAGATTTAGTAGGGATTCAAGGCTTTGGTGCTAATAACAAGATGAAGTTTTAGTCTACCAGGTATCAGCATATTCTCAGTCTGGGCGAGGGTGTGGCTGCCCGTTAGACAGGACTTGGTGGGATATGGGAGGACTCACTTGCCTCTAATAGCGCTCAATAATTTGTCCAGGGTGCTGAACTGGGGCCATGCAGGCCTAATTAGCGTTGACAAATAGCAGTCATAGGTGATGGTTCTTACACTTGGCTTCTGTGTGAGAGTGAGTTTATTTTGAATTAATGAAGCTGGAGTGGGAATAGATATCTAGAAATTACAAACATAAGCTTACGAGAGCCAGTTGATAACATAAGCAAGTGAAGCAAGGTTTAAAGCAATAGAGAGTAGTGGGGATTGTGGTTAACCTGAAGGGCAAACCCCACCTAAAGCAAGAAGCCACCACTCAGTTTCAGCTGTTTGAGGCCAAGTGGGAGTGTGAGACTGGTGTTTCCAATCAGAATTTATGGGAGGAGCTAAAAAAAAAAAAACTCTTTTATGTGGGATCTCTTGATTTTAAATATTGGCAGCTAATTTTAAAATGTTCTAGACTAATCCCTTATCTTAAGATGGGGAGTTGCAGGCCAGGCCAGAAAGGGGACGAGACTTGCTCAAAGCAGTTCAGCAACTTTGCCACAAGATAGGGATTGTAATTTCATTGCCTGACTCCTAGTTTAGTGCTCTTTCCTTTTCACTTCAGCTTGCTTTCCTCTTTAACAAAAGTCTTTAGTCTCTCATCCCTGGACCCAGAAAAGACAGGGTAAGGAAGAAATTGGCTGGGTCGGGGGATGTCTAAGCAAACAAGTCCTAAATTTTACAAGAGCATGAGATAAACACAATTATTTTAACACACTCTAACTCAGCAAAGTTCTGGATTTAGGGTACAGAAGCCAGGGACTGAGGATATCAGGACTGGAGAGTCAGGGGTGCTTTGCAAAGATGTGTGCTCCTCCTGGACCATCTGCAGTGTTCTGGGGCATCCCTTGTGGAGCACCTCTGAGCTCTGAGCCATATGCGTCCCTTTTCCTTTTATGCTAACCAAGTTTCACAAGAACAGATCCTGTGGCCTCTGACTTAAACCACAGTAGTTGTAAGCTGTCCTTGTAGGAGTTCTCTGGAGCAGAATAATCATGCAGACCATGGAGAAAAATCCGTCAAGATATATCTGGTCTAGCCACCTATCATAACTCAACAGCGTCTTCCTTCTGCTCCCTGACTTAGACTCCCTGAGCCCTTATCCTCCAAAGCTGGGCAAATCTTTCACGTTTGGCAATATGGGGGACAAAGTTTGCATTACACAAATCAACAATGTCATCTCAGAAGAGACCAAATAGGAAATAAGAGGCTTAATGGGATTTATCAATTACTGTCTAGGACCATATTTCTTTGGGAAGTTATTGTTTCACAGAATCTAATGTCTCATAGTTTCAGATTACTTCCAACCAGGACAGCCTACAAGATAGCAGTACAATCGGGAGAATTGGGCAATGTAATTATAGTATGGAAATGATGTTGATCACTCAAGCAGAGTGTAGACCTTGAATCTAAAACCTTGCTCTGTCTTCCCACCCATTTTCCATGGCTCGCACTTGAAGCTGTAGCCACCACACCCAGGAAAGCTGGAGGTAAGCTCACTCCTACTTGGAAGCTAGAAGGTGGTCAAGTCCCTGTGTAGGGTGTAATAAGGTGTGGGGCACGGGATCAGGACCAAGCAGGGACTGAGCAGTTGGGGCTAACAGGAACACCTCAGGGGTGACCCATTGCCCTAGTTTATGATGGTAACAATTTCCCAAGTACTTAATTTCCCAAGCATATACTTATGTGTGTGTGTATGTGTATGTGTGTGTGTGTATGCATATATATATAACTCCTAATTCTTGTTACATATTAACAAGACTATGTATATGTATATATGTGTGTATGTGTGTGTATGTACGTATATATACACCTTCCTCCCTCTCATCTCCTTTTCTCCCGCTCATCCTTTCTTTCATCCATTCATCTATCCATCATCCATCCATTATTAAATATTTTCTTACTATTTTCCTTCCTTTTCTCCTTCTTTCATTTGTTCATTCCTTCCTTCCTTCTTTCCTCCCACGCACCTTGATTTCTTTCACCCATCCATTCATCTATACATCATTCACTCATCTGTTACTAAATCTTTGCTTCCTTCTTTTCTCCCATCCATCCTTGATTTCTTGCATCCATCCGTCCATTCATCTATACATTATCTACTCTTTGTTATTAAATCCATCCTTCCTTCCTTCCTTCTTTCCTTCCTTCCTTCCTTCCTTCCTTCCTCCTCCTTCCCTCCCTCCCTCCCTCCTTTTCATCCATTTATTTACTGAGTACCATCTCCACATGAGACAATATGTAAGGTTTTTGACGATACAGAGATGAATTATTTCAACTACTCATTGAGCATATGCTATGTGCAAACATACCTATACGTAGCTTCCAGGTATAGAAAAACTCATTATTCATATTGTTCATCAAATATTTGTGGATGATTGATAAGTTTTTTGGACTTACTACTGCTCGTCAAACCCATTTCCACTTTTACTTGAGCACACAGTTTAAACTACATTTTCAAGCCTTCCCTGCAGTGAGGTGTGACCAAAGTGACTGAATTCTAGTTAAAGGAATGTGAGCAGAAGTGATGTGGGGTAGTTCCTGACCTGGCCATAAAATGTTCCTGCTTTTTCCACAACCTTCCAGCTAGGTTTCAACACCAAGGATGACCCTGGAAGGTCACTTGTTGAAACTGGCAGAGCCATCAGGAGCCTGGGTTCTTGAATGAACCAGTGGAGCAGAGCCCTCCTTCCCTCCCCCATCCTCTGGTGCCCTGAACCTGCATTGCATCGTCAGGTAAGTAAAACCTGCACTGATTGAGTTGAGGAGAAACATGAGGGTTGTCAATTGCAACAGTTAGATAAACTTTATAACAGGTGCTGGGGGAATGAACATTCATGCAAACTTTTTTTTGGCACCTACTACAGTCCAGGAAACATAGTGAGTGGCCAGAATGAGGCACAGCTCACTCATTCAAACAACTCTACTAGGCTATGGGGCTGCAGAGATAGATTCATAACAATTTCCACAAACAATCATTAGGTAATTAGTATGCCCCAGTCGTGGAGTTAAACTTTGAGGACACAAAGAATAATTCATTCAAACATGGATTAAGTTTACTACTACGTGCTTGACACCGGGTTGAGTATTAGGGAATCAAAGATAAACATAACTGTTCTCTTCAAGGGGTTCACAATCTGGTGGAAGAGCCACATCACGTCCTGGTGTTGCAAGTATGGGAAGTGTTCAAATAGAACTTTCCATGAGATTCCATGATGACCCAGGAAATTATCTCTGCTTGAGGCTGAGGGAGAAGAGGAGGGAGCATGGAAGGCTGCAATAAATGGTGGTTTTAGATCTCAGCTTTGAAGGATGAATATAAGTTTTCTAGGCAGAGAATAGGTGGAAGGGAAATCCAGGCAGAGGACACAGCATGTGCAATGGGGGTGTGTCCTGGGATCAATGAAGAGTTCTGTGTGTCTGGAGCTCAGGGACAGGGGCAAGGACAGAAGCAAGTGAACAGGGTGGCAGCCTGACTGTATGGCAGATGCTCTCCTCTTTCTCCCTGCAGGGTTTGTGTGATTGGACTTAGCAGGGCTAACAGGCTGAGATTAATCCCATCCTGGACTGAGGCGGGAGTAGACATTCTGTCTGATGCCTCTCCCACTGGACAAGGACTGGGGTTCATTTTAAAATGATATCTTAATGAGGAACCTCACGATGTCATCCTGCTAATATCATCCCCATTTTATGAATGAGTAAATTACTCATTCAGATGACACGGCTGTTTGAGCCCAGGTTGGCACTTAAGCCTCCAAGTGAGATTGCATTTATAATGTGCTTGTGGCCCCTGTAGAGTAGGAAAGGGGTTTCCAGATCAAACAATGAGGCAGAGGCTCTGAAAATCTCGGGGTGATTGACTATATTTGGCAGAGGCCAAGGAAGTTCCCCTTCCAAACACTAACCAGAACTAGTTCCACCTGGCACTCGTGTGTGTGTGTGTGTTCATGCGCACGTGCGCACGCCTGTGTGTGTGCGTGCATGTTTGTGTGTATGTGTAGTGTAGTGAGGGGTGTAAAGGTGGGAGAGTCGTAGCTGAGCCAGGTACAGCCTGTGCTGTGCTAGGAAGGAATAAATCTCTCCCTGAGCCAACGTTAATATAAGCTTGGCAGGTTCTGCGCAGGCCCCCAGTTGATTATGCCAGTGGATGCTGGGGAGGAAAAGATTAAGCTGCCAGAGTGGGGTGTGAATGCACATTACACAGGGTGACTACACACACACCCACACAGCCACACACCAACCCACACAGCAACACACCGACCCACACACCAACACACCAACCCACACAACACACCGACCCACACAGCAACACACCAACCCACACAGCCACACACCAACCCACACAGCCACACACCGACCCACACAGTCACACACTGACCCACACAGTCACACACTGACCCACACAGCCGTGCAGCCACACACTCACACAGTCATACACCCACACACCAACCCACAGAGCTACACACCAACCCACAGAGCTACACACCGACCCACACAGCAACACACCAACCCACATGGCCACACACCGACCCACACGGTCACACACCGACCCACACGGCAACATACCGACCCACACAGCCACACACTGACCCACACACCCGTGTAGCCACACACCCACACAGTCATACGTCCACACACCAACCCACCCACATAGTCACACACTGACCCACACAGCCATGCAGCAACACACCCACAGAGTCATACACCTACACACTAACCCACAGAGCTGCACACAGACCCACATACCTACCCAGCCCCACACACCCACACAGCCATACACTGACCCACATGGCCATACCAAAGTGATCAGAGTCTGGAACACTCTTTCTATAGACTGACCGCAAATTGGATTTCCTGTCAACTCTCGCACTTGGAGTCACAGCTCAGGGTATTTGAAGAACACACTTGGTGGGGCTCACAGAGCCATCTCGCTAATTTGGGGCAGCCCAATCTGTAGAGTTATAAAGTGTTGCTTTTCACAAGGTTACTTCGCTGGATGGGTTTTGTGCAGCTTTGAAAATAAGACTTATTCCTAACAGAGCTTTCCTCTGGGGCTGTTGTTCCATTACTGTTTTTATTATTTATTTGTATGGGTGTGACATGGTCGGGGGAGGAGAAGGGGCGTGTGTGTGTGTGTGAGAGAGACAGAGAGAGGGAGAGACCATGGAAGCTGGTTGGCCCCCTCTAAAGCATTTGTATGAAGTCTCTTCCAGAAATGTGTTTACATGACAGACTGTCTCAGATCCAGCAAGGAGAGGCTGCTTTTTGGCAAATATTATCAATTCCAAAATGTGTAATAAATACACATTTCACAAAAGCAATATGTGTTTTAAAATATAATATGTGCAGACAATCTTATAAATCACTAGCTTGACACTAGTCAGCTGGAGAGGTTTCTGGGGCAATGGTGATGTACATGTGCGTGTGTTTTTAATA